CATGGAGACCACATGGTCCTGGCTCCTCTCCTTCACACTCATTAACATCTGTTGAGTAGAGAGAAGGTAATACGCTGAATCTAACTGACATTACCGTATGCAAATGAGCATATAAAACAGGTTCTGCTGCCAAGGTGCTACATGTGATGTACTGATGGATAATATTTAGTTTCACATTGAAATATCAAATGCATCATTGTCATGGTATCATGGTAGCCTTTTGGTAGATTACATTTTACAGGAATGTCCTCGTACTAAGGAAATGTTCTGTTTTAGTGTAGAGCATAATCATATTGAAAATAATCTGCCCTTTTACTTAATGCACCATCTGTCATTGGGAGAAACTGAATTTTGTGTTTTGTTTGGCTGTGTTCTTGCTGAATTCGTGCAGAAATAAGGTTCTAAATAGTTTAAAATGCAAAGTAATTACACTTATTGACCAGATTGAACACAGTACTGATTTACTAATGTTCCAATGTTACACACAGCACCTTCAATGAAGCACTGGTTCTGTTGCTTATTTCACTTTTTTTTTTTTCTTGAGGGGCTTTTTGCCTTTAGTGACAGGACAGTTAAACAGATAGATAGGAAAAGGGGGTGAAAAGAGGGGGGAAGACGTGCAGAAAAGGGTCACAGGTCAGACTCAAACCAATGGCTGACAGTATTCAGCCCTTGGTATATGGGGCACCAGCTGTACCAGGTGAGCTACCAAACGCCCATGAATCTCACCTTTACACCCTGCAGCTGCCTCCAGAGTGAAGCCCACAGGGCAGGTGCAGTTGTCTCCACTCTTTACCATGCCAGATGGACATCCACAGCCTGTGCCGTTCTCCAGCATCACCTGGTTTCCAGGACACAGAGGAACAGGACTGGAGCTCACGGAAACTGTGGTAGTCAAGGAAGCTTCTAATATAAAAGAAAAACGGGTTATTGTAGGAGAAACTGAAAGGGAAGTCAAAAGAGAAATGCAGCAAAAGCCAAAAAACCTCACGTGTGGTAGGTGTGTGGCTTGGTGAAGTTTCACTGAGATTTCCAATGGCATTCTCTGTCATCTGATTCTAAAACAGGAGAAACCGGGAGTTTAATTCAAGCAAGTTCATCCACCAAGGACAGATCTAACATGTCAAAGTAGAGGGTTTGTTTGGTCACTCGCCTCGCTCTCGCTGAGCTCCCCCTCTGTGTGTTTCAGGACTTCATTTTCATTTTCCTCAGGGCTGTTGAGAGGTTCGGCCACAGACGAAACCAGCAGCAGGGCTGACAGGAGAGTCCAGAGGTGAGTCATCACCTGAGTCTGTGTGGAGAGAGGAGGCGGTGTGTTTACTGAGCCAAAGAAAAACAGCTCAGAGAGTTTAATAATGCATAAAATGTCTATGGAGAGCATGTGAAAATGACTGTAAACCCAGATTCATGTACCCATATGAATTGTTAGTGCAGTCACTCCACCCATACAGTGCATGCCTAGGCAGGCAAAACAACACAGGGGTAAGAGGACCCTGTTATTAAGTTAACATCAACCAACCCCCTGGGCTGTCTGCACAGAACAAAAGAGACTTACAGCAGCTGCAATACAACTACATGTTTAAGATAAAGTCATTTGGATTTTTGTCTTAATCTATAATCGAATCTATAAATTAATCTATAAAAAAACAACGATTTAAAAAAAAAAACTTTTGCGAAAAGAGAAAAACTACAAAGACTGCCGTGGGACTGACTTGTGTGGGCCAAATGATGCGACAGACAAACTGAGCAAAAGTGTTACCAACTCGTTTTAGCCGACTTACCCGGGTCAGATCTACTCGCACTTATAAACCGGGAGACAGACGCAGTCCAGAGAGTTATCCAGATGTCAAAACGAGCTTGCTATCTTCTCCAGATGCGGACTCGTGCAGCCGCAAGCCAGATCTGTGTCAGTATAGGGGGGCTGTACACTACAGCAGTGACTCCACATCCTGTCCAGGAACTCTACACTTCCCATTCCACAAATCCCAAAGCACCGCTAAAGAGGAGCAGCAGACAGGCCCTGCAGGCTGCTGCAGGATGCCTCTGCTCTGAACTCTGACATGGAGGTCATAAACCAGTCAGGAGGATGGGTCAGCCAGGGAACACGGGAGGTCAGAGAGACTTCACAAGCCAGTTTAATGGAAGAACTAATAGTGAGAAGTGTAAAACAAGTTCAAATATAAATATCGTTAAAGGTACAAAAGACCACATGATGGCAGCAGGTGATTTCTCACTGAGGTCAGTAACCTTGGGAAAATGGAGTCATACAATGACCAGTAACTAAAGGTATCAAACGAATGGAGTAGATATACAATATTTCCCTCTGAGATAATGTGGAGTGTAAGTATAATGTAGCATGAAATAGAAATTACTCAAGTAAAGTACAAGCACCTCAAAATGTTTAAGTACAGTACTTGACTAAATCTATGTGATTACTTTCAACCACTGCTTCAGGGCCATTCTGTTTGTGTCAGATGCCTCTTACATCCTGCCTGATGGTGCAAACATCTGGGGCTTTCAATGACAGCAGAGTGAGAAGACCTTTAGAACATTTTTAGTCATAAGAGTATCTTTTCCAAGGTCGGGTTCCTAATTGAATATGTAAAACACTGAAATTTGTATATATTTTTTTATTATTTATAAAGCCATTCTTTGCAAACTTCCATCATATTTCTGCTTTTATCACAATTTATTTCACAGAGTTGGAATAGTGTGTAGAATATGAATCTGATATCTCTGGAATCATTTAAGATTATTATAAACTCTACAGTAAAAGCCTCCCTTCTTTAATTGTGTCTGTTCTTATCAAATATTTAGTATTATTATCTGTTTTTAGTATTGTTTTATCGGTTGTTTGTTTTTCATCTTGTCCAGGTCTCCCCTCCAAAAGAAACCTTAAGCCTGGTCTGGTCTTCTGCTGCAGACCGGTGAGCAGCTCCACTGGATTGTGTTAGTGCCTTGCTCAATGGCAACTCAACAGTAGCTGTTTGGTGAAAGTGCTACTGTTACCATTCCCGTTTCCTGTCCAGATGTTGTATATCCAAACATTATGTGCCATTTGTCCTCATTTCTGAAATGCAGTAGAACCCATCTAAATGTTTGCCAAAAATATGTGAACCAGGGATTACATTTATGACATTGCAGGATGCTTTTCCAGAGAGACCCACACCAAACAGCAGTTGAAGCTTCATTATTCATCACTAAAGTTACAGCAAACCAAACCCAAGTGTAAAGAATAATGTGTTTATAATGTACTAGAACAGTAGTTTATTTTTGTGCCTGTAGCTGCGACTTTTTAAATGTCTCTAATAATTGCTATGCAGGTGACTAATGGAAATACTGGAAACCATCATGTCAATACAGACTATAATGTGAAGGATCTAATGGGTTATAATGGTTTTAATTGTTTTTCTCATTGGAAACCATTATAATTCATTGGACCGTGCATACATTCATTCACAGTTCATCAGCTAGCTAAATAAACCTAACAATAAAACTGGAGACATAATATTCTGTACACCTATTAATATATTTAAATGGACTTACTTTCCTAAAATGTCATGATGTTGGCTTGTGGTTAACAAAGGACAAATTGACAAGTTTTAGGCTCCTGGTTTTTAAGAATAACATTTATTAAGGTTTATCTTTTGAACAAAAGATACATTTTACAAAATACTCTCATATTTTGTTTTTATGAATTGTATAGCTTTCCTTAAGGATTGACGCTGTTTTTACCTTGAAAATCCTTTATGAATCATTACGTATGATTCCAGTATCAGCACATATTGTATCTGAATTCAGCGTAGCCATGTAGACTTTCATGGCTTAAGCTTTTATCACTGATTTTACATTTTGTAGCTGCCAGCTGATGATTATTCACTCAATTAGTGAAAGAGGTTGCAGAGAGCCTTAATGAAGCTGAGGAAAAGTTTAGAGGTTTTAACTTTCAGAAACCTGTTTCACAAGGCATTAAAACATCACAGAGGCACAAGAAGCAGAAACATCCAAATATGCAACAACAGAGAAGAGTGACTATAAAACAACAGTCTGACAGCGACTAGTTCATACGTACATTCAGTTTAAGGCAAATGTTTACGTTACATAGAAGAAACTTAATTGTAAAGAGGATTCTGGATAGTGCAGAAATAGGCAGTAATTCAATATTTTTTATGACATTTATCTTCTTAATAGGTTGATCAGGTTAACTTATAAGACATAAATCAGGGGAATCATATATCCAGTTTTGTAATTACTTATATAACCATGGAATTGAAAGAACTGTACAATGTGTGAGCAGTGTAGTTATATATTGGTATTAAAATGAATAACTTGTTGTCCAGTGGCGATTCCTTTTATAGTAAAACACACACGACATGACAGAACACAACACGCAGCACTGGCTTGAACCTTTAAAGTATACAGTGAAGTGATTTTCAACAGTGTGCCAGTGAAGTTCAAGAGTGTGCCAGTTTTCATTCCAAAAAACAAAACACACTGTAGCTGCTAATTTTACTGCTCAGCATGAGTAGAATTTAAATTTAATAATATGATATGAGTTATGTAATTTGATGCTATAATACCAATGGATAATATGAAACTCATTAATACTAGTTCATTTTAATTGTCATGTGAATCAGCAGAGTAATGAGTCATTTGTGCTTCACTTGGCTATAGCGTCATAAAAAAAAGTCCGGAATATCACATGTTCAACAGGGTACATTACAGCATTGGTAATAAATGGAATAATATTTCAATATATTGTATCTTACTTCAGCTCATCAAAATTATCATTCTTTAATTTGACCAGTGAGGCAAACAAGGAAATCTTGAAGATGATCTTTCTGAAGTTGTTTGCACTGCCTCCCATGGGAAATACCTATGAAATTGGCAATATCTGTCATGAAATTGGTGGGATCTGTCTTGAAATGTGCGTGTCAAACATAAATCTGATTTCAGAATCATTCTCCATTGGAAAAGTTTGCCTCCTTTCTGTCTGAAGGAGTGCAGCCAGTAAAACAGTCTGTCAGAGAGTTTGGAATGAAAACGTACAGACTCAGGCTTCAATGGTGCGTGACCACTGGTATTGTGTGAACTGCACAGCCCATTAGAGACGATGACTGATGCACAGAAGCAATCCGCTGTGAATGTTCTGGTAGCAGAAGTCCTATAGGAAGAGGGTGAAAGCATGTCAGGACACCACTAGAAGGGCGTGTCCATCTGGCTGCCCTTTGCAGCGGGTGACACCACGCCATAGCTCCGCTCCTGCCACCGCATCCAATGCATGTGGACCTCTTTCTGAACCTGTCAAACATACACATATAAAAAATGCCTTGTTTGGCTGTTTGCAACCTAGTAAGATGGTGCTGTTGCAACTCAGGCCACATATATGTTTAAATCATTATGGAATTATAGTTTATAATAAAAAATGATCTCATTTATAGTATATAATAATATACTTAAAAACTAATTGTTGGTCATTTTGAGAAATATGCTTATTTGCTTTCTTGTGAAGAGTTCGATGAGAAAATTGATACCACTCTTGTGTTGACTATGAGGCTACAGCAAGCTTCTGGTTAGCTTAGCACAATGGCTGGGGGAAACAGCTACCCTGGCTCTATCCAACTGTAACAAAATGTGCCTATTACCACCTCTAAACATTAAGTTATATCTCATTTAACTTGCAAAGAAATTAATTTAAGTGTTACATTTCACGACAAGTCAATTTATTGGATATTAAGTCATCTAAGGTATTGATTTGGTGTATTATTGGGGTATCAATTACATTTTTGAAGCATTCAAAATCATTTCCCTTGGCATGGAACAATATTCATTGATAAACCACAGCCTTAATTTTTAATCTGTATCTAAAAGGATATAGATAGGATAAGAGATATATTAGAGTATTACCCATGTGGCCGTAAAGCACCAAACAGATGAACATGGTTATTGTTTACTGAGTAATATATTATTATTAAACACAGACTGGTGTTGCCCTCAGACTCTTTGGGGTTGGCCTCACATTAGTCTTGGTGGTTACATAAGTGCTCGGGGTCCTTCCATTATGCAATGAGGGGAAGAGAAGTGGCAAATTATTGTCCATTTTAAGCCCTGACAACTCTAAACCGCTCACTCCTCGCTGCCATATGATCCAGGTACACAAGTTTATTATGCAACAGCAGAGAGCTGTAAATCATCATGTGTGATTTGTTGAATATGTTATAGTAAATGCTTGAGAGTGGTGTGGCTTCTACTGACCTCTTCATTGAGAAAGCAATAGAGAACTGCAACAAGAAGCCCCTGTAGGAGAGATGGTTTTAATCATTAACATTTAAGACTAGTCTGCATCATTAAAAGGTTGCTCATGTGAAGAGAGCTTAAATGTCAGACACAAATGAGAGTTGATAGGCTGAAGAATGAGAATTAAATTAGGTCTATCTATTATGTTTTGCTCACACAGCCAGTAAGCAAGTGTGGAATATAATTTTATATCTCCACAATATATTGCTGTAAGTCATGTACACTGTCCTTCCTTTTATCTTTACAAACATGTCAAATAAAATTGCTTTTATAAACAAAGCCTGTCTTACAACTATTTAGGCACTTTTGTTACTATTTTGTTCGTAGTTCACACTTCTGTGCCATATCAATTTGAATTCTCAATAAGAAGGGGGGCAGGAACAAAATCAGATTTGGGGAACTGGCGAGCAAACCATTTTGTGTCCCATGTGACTTGAAGGGCAGGAAGCCATTTGACTTTTCTGTGGTTGTCTTCCGTAGATGCAAACACTGTGCCAAACTTTGCTCACATTCTCAGCAACACAGCACAGCACAGGCTAAGGCCCCTTTTCACTAATAAAGAATTATTTGTTTAGCTTTTTCAAGCATATAATAGGGTTTTAATACCTTATAGGAATTTGGTCGATTTGTTTATTCAGTCCGCCTCTTGTCCAGATTTGGTCCAGCAAACTTATGACAGACTTATTATCAGTCTCATCAGCCATTTTGTTTAGCAAAACTTATCCCTAAACTACTAGTTACAGCTTCACAGAGCTGCTAGCATGGCTGTAGACTCTCAGTCTTGTTTATGTAAGTTGTCAGCGGGTAAGAATAGAGAATTTGAATTGTCACTACCTTGAACAGGTTATTCAACACATTTGTAAATTAGCACTAATAAGCACAACTTTTATTACTGCATGTAATGTGTATAAAAGTGGATAAAGCAAAGTGAATCCAATAATCTAAACAAATTTCAGTTTTAGACTAGTAATGTAAAGAATTAACCAAGATATTGCCTGTCAGTCAGGGTTAACTGCAACATACACTGCAAAAGAGATTACATTCTGGATATGATATGGATTGGTGTGTGTGTGTGTGTTCAGGGTATTTGAACATGTACAATATATATTGCTGTCAAAATATTGACTGTTTTTACATGTGTGCGTACCTGGAAGGATCCCATGCAGAGCTCGATACAGAGGCGCAGGTTAACATTGAAGTAGTCGGGCAGAAAATTGAAGAACATGTAGTGAGTACCAAACAAAGGGATGAGGAGGAGGGTGGACTTAGTCAGGCGTCTGTTGAACCGAAAGAAAGAAACAAGATGCAGGAGGTGAAGAGCTACCACAGGGAGTCATTTAGTGCATGTCTCATCTGTATGCTGCTCCAGACAGCATCATGAAGTCACGCTAATCATCAGTTGTCAATCAAGAGGATAGTGTGTGTGTGTGTGTGTCACTTTTGTTTATGAGCAGAAAAGGTAGTGGCAGGTGCATGATTCAAAGTGAGGATATAAGAATCTGAGATTTTTACGAGTATGGGAACATATTAATCTAGCTGGTGCAATTAAGTCAAGCATCACTTAACTTACCTTTGGTATGTCTTTTATAAGATCCAAATATGCATGGTGTCCCTGAACACTTTCAGCCAATTAGTGAGCCTGTTTCAATTAGAAATTCTGATAAGCCCCTTGGATAGTGGGAAGGTAGACGTGGCCAGACTGACTAGTTTGTGACTGTATGAATTATACATTGCCACTGACGTGTGTCAACACAACTGTGATTTCCAAAAAACTTGCATCTTCTACATCAAAGTGTCTTGACAGGATGAAAAAGTATCAAAGAGAGTGGGAAAGTATTTGAAAATGTGAACAAGATGAAAGTTACGTTTGATAAAAGCAAATACTGTCACTGTTTCTGTCTCTATACAACTGTGTCTGCAACTGAAGGATTACCTGTACTGAGAGGAGTTATTAAACTGGATCAGCCGAGGATTGAGCTTCTGTATGAGAATTCTGATGATGTTCATGAAGAGCATAAAATTGACCTGTTGATAGAAAAAGAAAGAATGCAAAAATTAAGAAACATGTTCAGCTTTAATGGGATAAAGCCTTGACGGGTACTGTACCAAATGTCACTTACAACAACGTGATTACTGAATGTCCTGGCAACAATATGGGCAGCCATGTGTGTAATTGACTAGGACTGGTGTGAGGGCAGTTTTTAGCACTCTCTTCTAAGGTGCACAAAAGAAGTTTTTAAAAATAATTTCTCAGACATCATCTCTAAAAGCAAAGTAAACAAATCATCTACATGAGAATCTGTAATCTGCTAGGTGCATAATAAGCAATCTTTTTGTTTGTTTCAGCACAATGGAGCATTTACCGCTATAGACACAACAATTGGTCCCTTGATGATCCACCAATAGGGCGAGTCCTCGTTGATGTCCCAACATCTATATAGGAAGACATTTTGAAATGTGAGTCTGCAGAAGTTTTAAGCTTTGATGTGCAAAGAATTGAACTGACTCTAGAATAAAACTCATAACAAACAACAAATATTGGTGAATTAATAGTATTTGTTTAACAGGTTAATTAAATAAAAAATCTACACTCACCTTCCCTCTTAAGGGAATATTTCTTTATCAAAAACCTAAACTTTTAATCATAAAATCCTTTTAGAAAAATGCTATACGGTGGCTCTGACTGCTGCAGCCCTTTGATTACAACGTTAGCCATTAAGTCTGTTGTAGTATGCTGTACAGTAAGTAACTGCACATGTGGAGATAGAAGTGGGAGTATACACACTCTGTGTCCTCAAAGTACACCCTGGATACAATCCACAGGATGATGAAGAGCACAGGCACACCTGTGGAAAGGCAGAAAATCAAAACTGATGTCAGTGAGACACAATCAATACACACTGAGCTGGTTGTATCATAATTAGTCAGTAACCAGTGTGTGAACACTTTTCTGATATCTGAATTGATCTATTCTGCAAGAGCTCATAGTGAATGAAGGCTTTCTGAATTACACATCAATATTCAGTGGCAGTGACCCCATTCATTTAATCATACAAGTTCTTAAGAAATCAACTTGAACATTTTTTGAAAAAACATTCAACCCACAAACATAATCTGATACATTAGTAGTGACTGCCGCAGGGATGTAAACTTTAATTCAGTTTGTTTGGTAATTACAGTTGATGCCACTGAGCCAGGAGAGTTTCTGGCTCTATCACAATAATAAGTTGGGGATGTTGGCCGATGGCAGTGTGTCTGCTTCTGGTGGTCCCTAAAGACAGTGGTGAATCTTCTTTGAAATACAGAGCTGTAATAAATATCTAACGGTTCAGCTCAACAGGGTTGAAATCAGTAATTTTGAGGATATTAAGATTTCTGTGTTTCACTGTTTAGAAACCCAAAATACACCTACTCACATATTGATGAGAGTGGTATTTGTGATATATTTTGGCACTGTGTTTGGATTTAAAAAAAAAAAAAAGTAAATTATTCAGTGAGTGACCCTATGGAGACAAAGTCTTAAATTTTAAACTGAATCTTCTGATCCGACTTTCATAATAAAGGGGGATGATGGCCCAACACAAAGCAGCATTACTATGGGGAACCGCATATGGCATATTAACAAAATCATGTATTTTGGTGTCCTACACTCATTTGTAGATTGAAAAATAAGAAGAAACCTGTGATGTGAATTGAAAAAGCTTTCCAAAGAAAGAGTTAGGTTTCAAACCACCTTTAAGTTAGATGGAAACTACAAATCACACTGTGCAAGCATTTGTGCACTTCAAGACAAAATAACACTCTCTGAAGCATCAAATTATAGGGATAGTGATAAAACACATCTATTTTATTCTAAGAGTCTTTCACAGGGCTAGGCAGATATATAGCTAAAGCTACCGAGCAAGTCGTACAAGAACGGCAGAGAAAGTGTAACCAAAATTTCCACTTCCACACATACATACTTGCACTGCTAAACAAAGCAAGAAAAGAAAGACAGACCCTTCACCATAATCATCATAATAATCACACAGTCAGGAGTGGCCAACAATCAGTAAGTTTTATTTTTAAACCACGAAAGAGTCCAAAAATACTAAAATGTCAAAACTACTCAAAAGTAACCAAAATAACAATAACTGATGGTCCAGCAAAAATTAAAAAAAGCCTAACCTGAAGGGGGTTTATCCAACGTTTACCTACCCTGGCTTTCATTACTTTTTCTCTTCCTCTCATTTATAAGTGTAACTCACCTTCAGCCAGCAGAGATGAAACTCAGGTATATGTAAAAGTCCCCTCATTTTATAATCCTTGCATCTATCACCTACTAATGTGTAAGAGGCGCAGGACTTTACTTCTCAGTCTGGAGCAAGTATCATATAGGATACTGTATATTGAATTGTATTGGAACCAAACTGCGGCTCAGCATAACAAATGTCAGGCAAACTGCACGTCAAGGTTTCTCACCCCATCCCAGCAGGCTGAAGCCCCAGAGGCATCGACGGCTGTGATAGAAAGACGAAAGCAGCAGGGAATTGAGGTAGAGCGCCTCCACCAGTAGCCAGAAAAAATTGGCCATTACACAATAGTGACAGAAGACCACAGAGGCCTTACAGGCAAACTGTGCAGGGGGAACAGGGAGGAAAAGAAGGACATAGAGTGAATCGTAAGGAGGGGTTATGAAAGAAGAGGTGCACAGACACATATGTGATTAGAGCGATGCATAAATATGAGAACCGGAAAATCTGCCCATAGGAATTTCATAATACAATAATGAACCTCTTGTCCTCAATGTCATTATCTTACTGTTGAAAGGGTGCAGTGGTTGGTGTCATCACTTGAGAAGAGAATAGCATCCTTTATGAAAACCCCCACAGCTTTCAGAATAAATGTGATGAAGAGCTGGATGTGAATGAAGTTCCTAGCACAACGCAGCCTCCTGTTGAGGTAACATACAGTACATGTGATAAATATACCACAGTGTTGCTTATGCAACACAAATATCAGATATAATGTCAAATATAAGTTAAGTTTTACAACACATTGTTACAGTACATTGTTACACCTTATCTAATAGCTGTAATGGCTTGGTTTACATAGTTTATGACCTCTTCTTAGCAACAAAAATAAAATCATTACAAATGTACAGTTATGGGAAAACGAAAATATATAAGAATTTAAAAAAATAGATGGAAATAATGGTACTGTAATATCATTTCTAGGTGACCATCATTTCATAATAAACAGACTAGATTTATGAAACCGCACACCAACTGAGCAGAGAAAAAAAGAAACCATTAATTAAGAGGTTTTGTGTTTCCACACGGTCCTATTTTTCTTCATCCAGTGAACCAAAGAGCTGGGTGGGCGGGGGTGAGGAACCCCTTGACATTGTGTCAATCAGTTGCTAAGTGGACTATAGGACCAGTTATCTCCACTCCATGTGGACCTAACCAGCCCTCTCATATGGGATTATGAGAGGGAAAATTATGTTATTCATCAACACCTTGTCAGCTGATTTTATGGCTGTTTTGTTTGCATTTTATTTTGGGTGTCAGTGATGCTGTTATACGGACTCATTGTAAAGAGTTTGTATAACAAATCACTCCTCTTCCTTAAAGTAACATCTAACATTTTGGGAAACATGCTTATTTCAGTTATTGATTAGATTTGCCTGCTAGCTAGTGGCCACACACAACCTTAACTTAACTCTGTACATATTTAAATAGCAAGATATAATATGTTTATTAGTAAAAAAATAAATAAAAAATAGAGGTGTGGGCCGGCAGGCTTTTTGAACTTTGGACTAGCCGTTTCCTCCTGCTGTCAGTCTTTATGCTAAGCTAAGCTAATCACCTGTTGGCTCTTGCTTCATATTTAGCCTACAGAAATTGAAGTGGTATCAGTCTTCTCTTCTAAGTCTTGACAAGAAAGTTATAAATATTTCCCAAAATGTCAAACTATTCCTAAATAAACTGCATTAGGGCATAATTTGTGTGTCAAGTCAAAACATGTATGTATGAGTATCACATTTCAAACAGCACAGGACCTAGACAAAGGTCCAAAACTGGTGAGAGTCTGCCAATATTAAAGGCTTTTTACAACACTAAGAGTGCCTTGGAATCATGTTTTTTGTTTACACTGGACAACCAGAACTTATTGTAATATGATCTGTTCCTACCTAAAGAGCAACAGGATCAACACAGCAACAGCCAGCACCGCTAGAGAGCTGCTGTAGCCGATGGTGTATATCAGCTTCACTGTGGCAAAGTATGACTGCTCTGTCTGAAAGCAAGATGAAAAAAAAGATTTTTTGTAAGCTTTTCAAAAGGCTGTCAGACCTCAAAATGAATGTAATGTCTCCAAATTGCTAAATTGCAGACAAGCTTGAGACTCAACTGCATTGAGGAGATGACTGTGGTATAACTGCAAGAAAGCCTTTTCTATATTTTGAGGCTGACTGGACTAAGCAGACAGAATCGACCTAAAAAAGTACATGAAAAATCTATTTAATTACAGTAACATCTGACTTTGTAATTAGTGACTTTCCACCCTTTCTATTGGAAGACTTAAAGGGTTCTTTTATAACTCAAGACAAAAGATGTTCTGTAAAGAACCAAAAGTAGTTTCTACATAGTTATCCTCCAAAAACACTATTCAGTACGATTAGGCACTATTCTCTCTTTGTGAAACAAGATAATGTCAGCTATTACCTGATAGGTGAGGTGTGATTCATTTCCTGCCTGGTAAAAGTATCAGTAGCACCTGGTGACATTATTTTCTACTCTCCTGCTACTACTACTACTACTACTACTGTAATAAAATAATAATAATAATAATATATATATATATATAATAATAAAATCTCTAATCAAAAGTAGGTATATGGACAGCAGTTTCACTTCATTACAGTATGACACACACTGCACAAAAAGAAATTTATATCGTAGTATACGTGGGTAGGGGACAACCTGTTGCTTCCCCTCCTGTTTCAAATTCTCTTCCTCTGGAGTTCCCCATTCCCCAGTCTGACTTCTTTATCTGCCTCGCCATAGTAACTCACCTCAGGAATGTCATCATCCACACTACAGGCAATGTCGTACGGTGGAAATAGTCTGGACCAACCTCTGCTGGTGCAGTTACGGCTCACTGAACCTGAGGTGAAAGGCCAAGAGATCAAAAAGTCAACTATGATACGATAGTTTTCAGATTAGATCCACTAACGTGTCAAAAGACAGAGATATTCACATAAATGTTTGGTGTTTTATGATGGTGGCGTGGCTCTTGGGATGGCAATCCACATTCTGTCCACCAGTGTGGTGAATGAAACATGTCAAACAATAAATATTATCTATTGTCATAATATTTGGTACAGATATCTATGGTTCCCAGAGAATGTATTCTAATGACTCTGGTGATTCCTTAACTTTTCTTTCAGCGCCACCAGCAGGTCAAAGTTTTCACTTTTCCTGTTAAATACACATCTGAAAAACATCTACTGGACATGGTCATGTTCCACTCAGGATTAATTGTAATAATTTTGGCAATTTTTTAACTTTTTCTGCAAAACTAACACTAAACTAACACACTAAACTAAGATGGTCAACGTGATTTACATTATACCTGCTGAACAGCATTATGTTAGCATTGTCATTGGAACAAAAGCCTGTTTGACCGACAGCCCGTTATTCCGAAAACAAAAAAGCCCATTGCTGCAAAGACACGTTCTTCCAAAAATACATACTCTACTCTACCTTTTTTGTCCTTAATATCTGACTGTATTTGGACGTGTAGAAAATTATTGAAAGTCAGGTATAATAATAAACATGTGATTAACATTGTGAAACAACAACAGTGTTGGGCTTAAGAATCAAAACTACTTGGTTAGGTTTAGCTAAGTTAGATACATCATAAGTTGGTGATACCAGATTGTGGCCTTCAGAGCAATATGCGTTTGTTTTTTGGCTTTTGGACAAATGGGCTTTTGGTCTAATGGAACATATTTCCGACTATTGGGATTTTGAAATAATGGGCAGATGGCATGGCAACATTGTAAGAAACAAGCATGAGAAATTATGAATTTCAGACATTGTAAATAAAAACATCCGAGTCTGAGAACTGGGAATGTTGGACTGAAAGCTCTTATATATCTGGCTAGGAGTTTATGAAAGTGCCTAAAAACCAAACAAAAGTAGATTAAACCCAAATTTATTGTAATACTTTATTGTAATACTAATTTACTGTAATACTAGTCTACTGTAATACTACTGTAATACTACGTGACTGTAGACTCTTATTCTTGTTTAGACACTGTTATTTATCCTCACAAACACATAAGGCCAAGGTACTTGTTCGCTCATTTTGTAAAACATTTATATGGGTTTCACAACCTGCAAACATGCCCAAATTTACTTGTTACAAAAAAACTCATTTGATTGCATTCTCCTGTGACAATCTAGCAAGCCTGAGCACTGAGGGGCTGGCTGGAGTCCAATTCACAAAACATAAAAAATAAGTAAATAAATGAACGACTAAATAAATAAATAAACTTTACTTTATGAAATTATCAGGATGAAAAACACCCTTTACTTTTCATCAGAACAATAATTTATAATTTAATTTATAATTTTGACCCACTGGTGAACATCATTATCTTAAAATAAAACACCCTACTCACCACCTCTTTAACAGTGTGATCTTTTAGTCACCTGTGTTGTTTCTGAAGAGGGAGAAGACCGCAGGACAAGGTCTGTGGACTGTTTCCCCCATGACGGCGTGAGGCCAGCAGACAACTGCATCCCAGAATGGCTGACAAACTTTTAGGAGGAGAAAGAGGGTTAAAAATAAAGGTAAGTGTCTCTCAAGGTAGTTATTCAGAAGATTCCCATTCCATGAACACATATTTATATGCACGGTCATACATCGACGGCTGTAATGCACACAGTTTAAATATATACTCATGGAGGTACAGTTGAGGTAAATGGGGTGTATCATGCACAGTAGCCACAACAACATTCTTCAAAGCCATAACACGCCTCTGTTTAAATTGTATTAAGACAAGAATGAGGAAGTACTGTAAATCCCCAACCAAGACCTTTATCTTGAGCTAGATTACACACATAAATCCTTATGTAACTATCCTTAACGGTCTCCTCTACAGATGCATCACAGTGATAGATCACCCTGTGCGTTTTTATTCTGCAGTTGGGACGCCATCAAGAATCTGCCCTGACAACTGATGATTCTCTGTGAGGCATTTATTCCAGCTTAGACTCTTATTCTTAATGTGAACTTGTGGCATATTTCATATTGTAACTACAACCACGTTCGAATTTATATGAGTTACTGCCGCAGGGTGATTTTAAAATGGAAAACACACCTTCTGAGCTTCTGTTGCCTTGCTCTTTAATGTACTGAAGGCAGTTACGCTTCTCTTTCTCCAGCTGAAATATGAACTCACATTCAGGGTGCAGGCTCGACAAAGCCTAGAGGTAGGGAAGAAGTAAGGAATAAAAGGAGAAGAGAAGGAGGAAATGCTCTATTAGATATATACAGACATTCAAGCAAAGGACAAAGTGACCACTCAGTCTGTAATTGTATGAAAAAGGCATTTCATGTGTCTGAAAAAAATGCATGGCAGTATTTAAAGGGCAGTGACTCATTTTGCCTTTATGCCCTACCTTTTGCAGGAAATGCTTTCCCACTAAAACACTTGGCTAACCTTTTGGAAAAAAACGCACCTATGGCGTTAAGCAAAATTATCTTTCACTATAGCACACATAGGGGACACTAGGAAAATTTATTAAATGAGTTTGTCCCTAAGGACAGAGATGATTGTCTTGGCCTCTGACAACTCTGCACTCCATCCATTTAGTGCGGCTCAGAGATTCTTCTGTTTGTCTGCCCCTGCACATCCCTCTGTTTCCTGATGTCAAATAAAAAGAGAATAAGTGGATTTGCATTTGACTGACATTTATCTCAGTCTAAAACAAATAAGAACATCTTGTTTCTGGGAAAGAAAAGGACTGATGTAAGGTGGATGTTGGAGGGTAACGTAGGAAGTGGATGGAGGAAGTATACACCGAAAGAGGATAGGATTGTCAAGACTCTGTGGTAATTATTACTTTTAGCTGTATTTCAGAACTGTTGGATCGAACAATTAATTTAACATTTTAGTTAACTGAACTTAAGAAAACACGTTTAATAAGCTTACGATATTAAGTTGAACCAACAACTGTTGGGTCACACTAATGAACATTACAAACAAATTTGATTTCCTTTTACATTTTCTCAGCTTGAAGAGTCAGCTCTTCGATTTATACAACAAGCTTACAACTACTCTTCGGTCTGTACCAGTGAGTAGTTGCTGTATAAAAGAGGTTATAAAGGTATATAAGGTCATATAATACAGCTTCAGCGTAAATGCATAAACATTCCTGTGCTGCACCAGGACAGAATGTAATTTGCTTTTGAACACTGACATTTATGCGGCAGATGTTGCTGGCAATAAGAGCATTAGAGAAAGAAGGAGGAATTTTAAGGAAGCATTTCTTACTAAGGGTTTAATCCACAGTATGGATATGACTATATAATGCTTGTGTCTGGCAGAATGTCCATTGTTGGTGAGGGGTTTCCAGATAGAAGGAATTCCAAAAAAAGGGGGCAAAGACGGGCCAGAACTGCATTTAAAACAACCACTACTGTTCCGTAGTCTGGTGTTAGACTCTTAGTGAGCATCACACAGCCCATTTCATTAGATCCCATTGTGCTTTGTATTTGAAGGGGTTGGTGAAGCCATGATTAGTACAGGAAACCACGTGATGGAGTCTAGACGGTGGTGGTTGTGGCAGTGGTGATGAAGGAATGACGAGAATGCTGAAGATCTGGATGTGATGAGGAGTGCACTTCTGATGAGCTCAACCTGGGCACGGCTATGATGAACTGGAGGTGAAAGGTATGACAGCTGAAAGCAGCAAAGAAGAGAACAGATTTAATGTTTGACAGCAGCAACATGATTGGCTGGAGGAGATTATGGTAAAGTCTGATTGGATTAACTGAAAGAGTAAATGCCCAAAGCTGATTAGAAAGGAGAGTGAGGATTGTGAATGAATGAGGCATAATGAACTTATGCTGAGATTCATGTCTCTAAAATGTCATAGTTTCATTGAGCCCACATAGCAAATCAACATTATGCTGCCAGTAGCCAGCTGGGAATGTCAAAACTGAGGTGAGCACGAATTAACATGAGAGATTATATCTCTGTGTTTACTGAGGAGGTTAATGGTGACAGTATCTAAACTAGTCTGGGTCAAATTCAAGTGTCCTTTATTTCGATTTCATGCTGCTGGTGAACTTAAGTGGTCCTGAATGTAAAGGTCAGAGCAGCAGGCTGGGTCATTTCTTGCTAGCTTTGACAACATACAACAGTGTGTGGTCCATGTCTTGCATGCTACTGAAGTACATATCTAACTTTCCTTTTACACATTTTGATCCATGCTGATTACTGTAGCCCCCAGTTTATTGTTAGACTTCAATGATGCTGTTATTGAAACATTGCACATTCTGGAGCAGAATTTGCTGCAAAAGAAAAAAAATATCTTTAAAAAAATGTATTATATATATTATACAAGCTTTTACATTTTATTGCATGGGCTTGGAAGACAGCATTGTCTAGTTATAGTGCCTATAGTGAAAGGCACAATGTGATATCAGCAGAGATGAGAGAAGTGTGTGTCAAAAAGAAGAGATGAGCATATGCAGACAAAAGCAAGACCAAAGGAGAAAAAAGGAGGTACTTATAGGCAGCCATGTAATCATGACGCACCTCCATTTCCAAAATTACTCAAAATATTGACAATGTTTTGCATTTTGTTTTCCCAATGCTACGTCATTTTGAGGCTGCTGTTTGAGTCTCTCCTCTCGTTTTTGAAAATGCATATTCAAGACAACACAGACAACATATCGCGGACACAGCCTTAAAAAAGTTATCTCTGTTATTGATAGGCATATTGCACAGACTTTTGTCTTCATTCGGCTTAGTTCCAACTCATTTTAAAAGACTTAAGGGGAGACAAGTGCAACTCATAATGAAAAAAAGCTTCAGAAGCAAAATTCCTCTGGGACCACAAACACTCCCTCTGGAGAACTGTGGTTTCCCCCACTCACTACTTTTTTGAATGTCATCCAATGAGAGGCACTGGTTGGGTGTTATAAACATTTCCATTAAAAAGATCTATCATTTCTCTGACGGGGCACACAGCAACATCTGCACCCGTACAAGTACAAACCCACCTGGAGCCATTTCTGAAATTACATGAGTCAGTATGCCTTGCATAGATATAGCTTTTTATTTTCATAATGTTGGGCACTGATTCGAGCTGAGTGAGGGTATGTTGTTGGATAAACACTGTAATTCAACACTGGTGACAAACTCAGGGTTGACTCTCAAGCAGTGTTGTAGCTAAGACCATCTTTGTTGAGTCCAAGACCAGACTTAGTCAAGACAGAGCCCAAAGCACAAGTTCAGACTGAGGCAAGACCAAGCCAGGAGAAAAATAATGCTTTTGCTATTGAGTTTGGCCAGCCAGGCACACAATTGCAAGTGACATTGATTGGCCAATGTCAAAGCCTGTTCTAGATGGATTCTGAATTAAACCAATACCTAATTTAAGTGCAGTCAGCCAATGGTTTTGTTTTTAAGGAGGAAGTTACATTAGAAAAAAAATAGAATATTTGGTGAGACCAATGGCCAAGTCCAAGTGCAAATACCAACAAGTCTGAGACAATAGAGAAAATGTCTCAAGTCTGAGACCGGACTCGAGAACAGCACTACTTTCAAGGTTGTAGCACCATATGTGAGAGGTTAAAATCACACTGGAAACTGAGAATAACATAATGCGTGTAATGGCAATTGGCAAAATGTACAGATTTTAATTTAAGTAAAAGAAGATGATAGTGGATCCATGAATTTTCCTATGAAAACAGGGATTTATTCATTTCTTCATCACAGTGATAAATATTATATATATTATAAATGTCAGTTGTAGATAACATATCTAATCTTCTTATTCAATCAAGCTATTTGAACAGGTGCTTTGTACAAGAAAACCGTCTGCCTTTAAGATTCTCATCAAAAAAAGGATTTAAACCCAAAAGGCTGCATATCCATCAGAACTTCATCAGGATATATTTGAAAATAGATGAAATAGGTGAAATTGGTTCGGACCAAAACTTTTCATTTCTATTTCTCGCAATCACTCGGCTCTTTCCCCTCAATGTGTGTCTTAACTGTCAACTTGTTCGCCATCTCACATACACACACGCACAAATAATGGGATTCTCAGAAAAAAGCTGTCGCTTGCGTTAGTCCAGAATAACAAACCACTTTAGTGACTGTGTCAAAAAAACACCTACATAATAAACACTACACAGAAAACTAGCTGGAATTGAACACAATCCTCCTGACAGTTGTTGGACAGAAATGTTCAGAAAATGTTCCTCCCCATTGTCTTGTAGAGACAAATATGCAAGCTCTCAACACAATCTGTCCCTACATCAATGAGGAATGGACGTGATGGAAGCAACCTAAGCAAATTGCTGCCAGTCCTCTTTGTTCCTAATGCAATGCTAATAATCTAATGAGAGGTGTTATTGAGCAATTTACGCAGCAATTACTGCCTGTTCAAAGGCAGGCGAAGCCAAGGATGCATTTACCTTGCCTCCTGCGAATATTCCAACAATCAGAGTTTGCGTTAAGTGTGCTTCAAGGAGGGACACGTATAATGCAGATATAGTGGTATATTGCTCTTTGCTAAACTGATTATATTGTTATAATGGGAGGAACACTGCCAGAGTTAGGGCATTTATATTCAAAGTAGACAGACGCACTTACATGTTACCATAATGTACACTACACAAATGCAGCTAAATGGCAAACTGTATGTCAGATGGGGGTCATGTACCTCACATGGCTTCCCTGTTTATGCAGAGGGATGCTGTGAAGACATTTCGTTCTACATATGGTGCGCAGTTCAGAGGAAACGAACAAAGCTTTGAATGGCAGCGGGTGAGGAATAAAGCCAGAGTCAAGACTTATGAGCATCGAGGGTGCATGACATGCTCATGCATTTCAGCTGCATGATGAGATAGAGGGAGACGCTATTTAGCATTTAAGAGACGGAAACAGAGGTAGAACTATAGATGGAGGAGCTGCATGAGATAAGTCTGGATAATATGAGCCATGAACTAAATGCATAGCCAAAGGCCCCTGCACACTACCAGGTTAACATGCAGTCTGCTGGAAAAATGTTCTCTGAGAAGTGAAGCCCATTATCCACTAACTACCCAAAAAGGGGCCATTGGATTGGGCTCACTTTGCACATGTTGCCTTCTATTTTCAACCCCGAATGAGATGCACTTTTACGCTTCTGCAGCAGTACTGTGGCACAGTATAAAAATAAAAAAACACGTTCAGTCAATCAGAAGGAGTACAAACACAGCATGTCTCTGAAATCGAAGGAACTGTTTGACATTTTGGCAAATATGCTTGTTACTGGAGGTGCAACATTCAATCAATCAGTTGTCGACTATTTAATTAATTGGCAACTATTTTGATATTTAATTAATTAATTAAAAAAATTCAAAATTACTGTAAAGGAAACTGAACTGAATATTGAGGTGTGGACAAAACAAGACATTCAAGCATGTCACCAATTAGCTTTCTTGCTGAGAGTTAGATGAGAAGATAGATAGCACTCTCACATTTGTTTGCTGGATTTGAAGCTGGAGCTAGCTGGTTAGCTTAGCATTTAGCAAAAAAACTGGAAAAGGGGAAAAAGTTAGCCTGGTTCTGTCCAAAGCTAATGAAAGCTTCCTACCAGTATGGCTAAAGCCCACTATGTTATCTAGTTTGTTAAATCCATAAAAATAACAAGTGTAAAAAGGACAATTTAAGGTTTTACGGCCAGATATTAAGCTAGCTGTTGCCTTCTGTTTCCAGTTTTTATGCAAGGCTAAATAACCAGCTGCTGGGTGCAACATTAGCCTCTTATCATGGAGGCATGTGTGGTATTTATCTTCTCATCAATCTCTTGGCAAAAAAGTCAATAACCATATTTCTCTTTTAACTGACAAATACATGAAACAGTCCATCTGCTGGCTGCATGTGGGGTGAATCAGGTTCATAAGAGCCATATTTGGACTTTAAACATTTTTTACCGTGCAGCCCCCAAAAAATTGACCAGTTCATTTTTTTTTATCTTTCTTTTCTTTGTTTGTTTGTTTTTGTAGGTGCTGTTTAAAGTGCAAAATTTCAATCATACCTGAACGTTCAAAAGAGACCAGCTACCATCAGTCTTGTTTTTTAGTGACTGTTTTCTTTTGAAATGTGCATGTGTGTGTGTGTGTTTTATGGACCCGGGAGTTCATTATAATTCTCTGCAGTCCTGAGCAGTGAAAGAGAAAAGAATGAAGTGGAATACAGTGATGAGTGTCTGCCCTGTTCCCATTCTCCTGCTTCTCATATTTCTATTGCGTGATGGAAATTAGCGAGGTGGCCATGTAATAATAACCCTATAAAGCTGTTGATTAAAAAAATGTGTGAATGGGCATACATGTGCGTGCAGTTTGTTGCCTGTCTTGCTTCTTCACAGATGATTGACCGAGACAAATTGATGGCATAGACGGTAAATAGAGTGAACAGTAAACAAAACAAAACAAAAAATTCAGTCATTTTCACTTTCTTAATTTCAATAAAGTGAATTCACTGTAACATATTCCAAATTGTGTGTCTTCATGTGTGCGTGGGCTCGTTTCACTATGTCCGTGGGGTCCAAAAAATCAGGACCCTACTATATTTGTGGAGTTTGACAGCTTTTGTGTGTGAGTGATAGTCTAATGGAAATAGTTCCAGTTTTAATGGATTTAAATTTCCTTTGCTCTTCATCTCTCTTCATAAAGCTACTCTAATGTGCATGCATATATATTCCAATATTACATGTTTTATTTTTGAATGTACAAACATACTTGCATCTCACCTGCACTAGATGATAGGGCTACACGATATGATAAAAAAAAAACTCATACTGTGATTATTTTGACAGATATCACAATTGTGATGTAATTAGTGATTATTGGGGATAATTATTTTTCCATCACAATTTTCATTTTCACTGAAACAAATACAAAAATCATGATGATGTGACAATTGTTGAGGTCTGTAGTACCAAAGAGATGATTTCTTAAATTTGTAGGCCAGGGCATCTCTGCAGCACTACAGTACTTAATGCTGTTTGAGCAGACATTTTACTTTTATCAAAACAACTGCAGCTTCTACAATTTGCATATGGCCATATTGCGATTTCAACAATATTTCGATTAATTGTGCAGCCCTATTTAGCTGACTCTTCTATGTAACCTGGACCAGAACTTACAGTCATCCTAATACACAGACAGATCCATCTCCATAATGTAAATTACAGAGTACAAGTAATACTAAAATAATAGCAGGTCACATATAACAATAACACAATAACGTGCAATAGGGCTGCAAATAATTCTTATTTTTGTCTATAAAAATCTATAAAAGTCTGACAGTCTAAAGGCCAAACATATTCAGTTTATTATAATGAAAGACTAATAAAAACAGTAAAAACTCTCATTTGGAAGCAAGAACCAGTAACTTATTGGCCACATATATTCATATATTTACAGCCTATATTTACACCCCATATGCACATACAGTACACACACACGATCCATCACACATACAGTAAATCTCCATTAAAATGATACATGATACACACACGGAACAATGTTAAGAATATTACTTTGGACCAGTGTGAGGAAGCAAACAGCTGCACATCAGGTGCCTGCAGACAGATGCAGGGCGCGTGTACTGTCAGGCACAGGCGCAGATCCGTCACTGTGTCTAACTGAATACCACAAATCATTCATATGTTCAGTAAAATACAGGTCTATGCAGAAGGAAAAGATGACACAGAATATCTGTTTCAGGTGTGGGCATTTTGTTTTGTTCAGTTTTTCTTTTCGACCAGATTCAAATGTGTATAAATAATGTGTTAATTCATCTCTCATAAATACTTCTCACAAACAGTTCTGAAAATGTCCAGTTAAAGAGAGCATCAAGTTTTTCTGCATGGCAAAAACATTCATTCATCTTTTTCCCCCCCACAAAGGTGAAGTTAAAGTAAATCACTCACAGTTGGAGCCAAACACAGAGTGAGAAAAATCCATCTGATGTGGAGACAGGACATGTTGTCGCTATATCCTCCGTTCAGTCCAGCTCTCCTCAAAGAGACTGCAACACACTCCTGCAAGACGGGATGCTGAGGCTGAGCCCCTCTGGGTGGAAATACAACACTTGTCAAGCTTGCAACGGTAAAAACGTACCACTTCCTCTGCATAATTTCAAAATAAAATCCTAACTCACGAACTATCGGTAAGAAATGGTTCTGAAAAACATTTTTTTCCACAGATTTTTATAGCCTCGCAAAGAAGTGCTCCCAATACCGGGATGAAGGATTACAGTCTAATTAACCACGCGCTACACGATTGTGAAGAGACACGTTTCTCTTTTATTTTGAAGGTAAAAGTCAGCTCCTCGCTCGGCCGGTGAGATTTACAGCTGAGGCTGAGCGGGTGTTCACTCCTGCTGTTAGGTCAGATTCATCCCTTTGCTCTTCTGAGCCTGACTGTGTCGCCAAACACACAAACTACATCTGGTCTTAGAGACATCAGGCTAAACGTGCACTTTACACTCTTAAAGGAGTGACAGGTGAAATACAAAAAAAATATTTGGCTTTGATGGAACAACAATGTTTTGTTTACTTTGTTTCTGATCATTTCCAGACATTTTCGTGCATTTCAATACGTCCAATTTTGTGGAAAACAGGTCTTTTCTACTTTTTACATTTTTTTTAATGGTTTAATGTTGGGTTACATTAAAGAAAAGAGAATGAAATGCCAGGACAATTAATTCCATTAGTCAAAAAGGACTCTATCTTATAATAGTCTTATAAACTAGGCTTCAAGTAAATCATCAATCAGTCTTAATCCCAAGGTGATCTTCAAATAGGTTTTTTTCTGTCCAATCAACAGTCCCCCAGAGTTATTAAAAAAGAACAGCAAACCTTCACATTTGAGAAACTGAAATATTTGACATTTGTGCTAGACAAAACATTCATTTTCCATTAATCAACTAATTAATCAGATAATATTTCCAGCTCTAATAAGATCATTAACACAACCGGTTCTGACATCAGCACAATGAGGGGGGGGAATCAACTAATACTCAGTGAGTATAATCCTGGCGGGCCATTTCCACACCTGGTGTCCAATAATGATACACAGTGAACTATTAAACATTCCCTGAGGTAACATACAGACGACGTGATGGTGGTGTCTGCAGCTACAGCTCTGCTGCTAAGGTGTTATTACTTTAAGCATACTGTATCAAAATAGACCTGACGGTGAGATATTTTCCTTCATGGTTAATGGCAGAAGAATTTTTCTGAATCATAAAAACCATTTGCCCTACAGACCCCCTCTACGCCCCCTCTGATGTCAGTTTAGATAGGAGGTTTTGACAGGAAGCACTTCGTCTCACGTCTTCGGTCATGTCAGATTTCTGAAGGAGTGATGCAGAAGCAATGTGTTGATCTTGTTGTTCTGATGTTTCCAAACTGTCAAACATAAAGTCACATAGATTGGTGGATGTCAGAGGCATCATCACCCTCACATTTTTTATTCATGTTTACTGGATGTTTGACAGGTCTATTTCAAGTTACACTGAGAATGATTCATGCAATTTATTTCTTCAAAATTATCCTTTAAAATCAGCAAGTAGAAAAAAAAATCTCTCCCTGTGTGAATTCTTTGACAAACATAATGTAAACTTGACAGACTTAATATTGCTTGTAAGAATTTATAAAATCTACAGCTTTGTAGAGAAAATATGAGGCTTTGCATACAAATTGCACCAATTTACACCCATCAAAAAATATACAAGAGATCTGAATGTGAAACGCAAACAGATCTCTACAAAAGCAGCAGAGATACGCTCTTGCTTCATTAAGTAGTGAATGGTTGTGTCCCAAAGTGACCAAACTCACTTTTTAGTTATTGCTTTGCTATAAAAAAACACAATAAACAGCACACGATATTCAATCCATTTGACCACTGAGAGTGCAGTGCAGAGGATTATCTAACATATGACAAAAAGACTCAAAATGAAATCCAAATTGAAAAATCATTGCAACTGATAAAACTGAAATACATGATATTGTGCATATTGTGATTTAAATGTCACTCAAATTAAGTTTTTTCAGAATATTACCAATTCATACCAAGCGCCACGTTCTGTGCGGTTGAGTACAATATACAGTTACTAAAGCAAACTAATCCCTGGCAATTAGAGTTAATAGGCACTTTGAAAGTACAGTAGATCATTAGCTGACAGCCATTAATATGCTTTAACTGAATGTCATTGTAATGACACTTTAAGTCAGCCTGTGAAAGTACAGGCACTCCGCTTAATTAGATCCTCTAAACTGGATGGAGAAAGCTGGTTTGTAGGTGGGTCTCCTTACACAGACAGTCAGATGGTGATTTTTCTTTTCTTTTTAGTTTTCAAAAATACAAAATCAGGACATGATACCACTGGAGGTCAATTTTATGTCCCACTCCTGAGAGTTGCACAAAGTGCATTATGCTTTGTAATCAAAACAGAAACTGTATTTTTCTAGGCTAGTTACTAGTTTCTCCTTTGTTTCCTTCCTGCACTGGCAAAGTGCAAACATAGTGTTCAGACAAGTCAGTTCATAAACAAGCCACGGCAAACTACTTGTCTGCACTTCATCTCCTTCTTTTGACCATTAGATTATTAAAATATTGCACAGCAGTTCAAACATTTTGAACTGGCCATGCATGATTTTGTAAATTTCAAAAATATTTCCTGGGTCTTAACAGGCAATTTTTGCAGATAAATATTTGTCGTCTGACCAACAGTCTTATCAGATTTCGTACAGATAGTGTTACTACTATTGCAGTGATCCACATTCCCTAACGTAACAGCATAATTGGAAAAAACAGAGGCGAAACCGAAATTGAAATAACAAAATTACAAAAAAGCCATAATTACAGGATGAAATAACAAAATTCCACATTACCCTAACTGAGCACCTTACCAATTTAACCCCAGCTGAACTAAAGATATCTATATTACTTGGTATATATTTTTTTTAAAACATGAAAAAACATTTCTCTTTCTTTTCCAAAACCACTTTCCTCTTGTTGACAACAACTTCACTTAGGCCACAGTTAAAACATGAGCACACCTCAAAAGATTAACACCACAGAGTTAAATAATACAGACATTGTTTTTAAAGCATAAAATACTTGGGTAAAAACAGGTTTTTGGAAAAAAAAAAGAGCAAAAAAGTAAAATGAATAAGAAACAGTCAATGAACTGCAATCTCTTCTTCTCCCTTGAGCTGCCACAGTGACATCAGGATGTATTTGTGACATCATGCTGATGCTTCTGTGGGAGTGTGCATCATCCCGCTTCAGGGAAAGTCACTTCCATCATAGATTATGGGCTTCTCCATTGTCAGATGGTAGAAGACCTTCTTGGAGATAAAACTGTTGGAAAAAAAAGTCTCTGATCAGAGGACTGCAATCCCATTAACTGAAACGAGACACTGAGGCAAAATAGGAAGCCTGTTTGAAAGCCAAATGTACACACAGACACACACAAACACACACACACAAACATATGCCCAGTAGTGGCAGGAAATGAAGGTAAAAACAGTAAGAGTTAAAACCACTAGGAGGAAGACTCGGGATGCGTGATGTCACATACCGTGAGAAGGAGTTGTCAAAGATGAGTGTGTAGAGGCCGGGGTGTCGCACTTTCAGCTGTCCCTGAATTGTCTCTTTATGGGAACTGCAGCGAGTCAGAGGAATCAGGACCTGAGAGAAGAACAGAAACACTGGTGAGTGGTCTGAAGTGAAACACAATGTACAGGTGAAAGGCTGTGCCAGAGGTTGTCTAATGGCCTCCATGTACTTCCAAAACGGACAGCTGTGGAAACAACGCCCGCGCAGCAGTTCTACTTATACTACTTCCTGGAGTCCACTCGGAGGATGTGTTCCACACATGGTCACAACAAATTGCAGGAACACAGATGTCCACACAGAGCCTTTAGGTCATGTTCTGATAATATACGTCATGCGGACCCTCGCATACTCGTGGACAAAGAAAGTATAATTCCGGCTCAACAAATCTCCCAGTCTATCTATAATTATCTAGGCTTGTGTTTACGACATTTATGGTATCTTACATGACTGTTTATGTTGGACAGCAAGGATCCGATCATCATCAGCATAACTGTAATATATAGGAAATTCCAACACACTTTGAATTAAAGGGGCAGTGTGTACGATTTAGCGGCATCTAGGGGTGTAGTTACAGATTGCAGCTCTCTCGTTTTAACCCTCCCCTTCCAAGTGCAAAGGAGAAACTACAGTTATCTGCGAATTGTGCAAAAAACGTGAAAGGCCCTGTCTACAGCCAGTGTTTGGTTTGTCCCTTCTGGGTTACTGTAGAAACATGGCAGTTCAACATGGCAAACTCCATGGAAGGAGACCTGCCGCATCTGTAGATAAAAACGGCTCATTCTAAGGTAACAAAAGGTAACGATTCCTGTAGTCAGGTGATTATACCCCAATGAAACCATACTTATGAATATTATATTCTATTTCTGACAGTGGATCCTCCTGAATGTTACACACTGGACCTTTAAAAGTAAATTTCAAGTCAAAAGGACATTAGGAAACATTAGGAAATATTGGCAAGATATGGAGGGGATGGGAATATGAGGCGAAAGGTCATAACTCATTGACAACCCCTGACATTTGAAATGCAGGATGTTTACCTCAATCTGCTGAGCAACACTGGCAACCTGCAGTGTTTTTTCTCGGTCGGTGATATTTGAAAGATCAAGCAAATAACCCCAATCTCTGCAGGGAGCGCTCACAAAAGCATGCACAAGCCAGTCCATTGTGTCTGGTAATAACTTTTGAGTTTTCATATAGCTGCAATTTCTAACAATTGAAAAGCATTCACTTCAGCCTTATGATGAACTTTAATTTGAAAGTATGTAACAACCTTGCCCTTGGTTTTTGTCTTTCTTGACTTTTCTACTGGAAGACACACAACGACCGAGTCTCCTACACATTGGCCTTAGAGCATAAACATAAAATGCAAAAAACAAGCACACCCACCTTCGACTGTTCCACCTGAGTATCAGTGGATTCCCTATAAACCACACTAAAGGAGATGCTCTTAGGCTCTGAGGAAAACATCCAGCTGATGGTTGGCCCGCAGTCACCCACAGCAACAGTTATCACACTGTAACAGCTGGACTTGATGAAGAGTTCCCTGGAACCATCGCCAAACTGAGTAATATCATCAATGCTGAGAGGGACAGCCATCCTGCAACGAGAGCCAATTCATTTTAAGAGTGGTGTTAATGAATATCAGTTACTCACTCAGTTACACACATTAACACAACAAGTAAACCAAGGTCAAGACTCACGTGACTTCTCCTGATTTGAGAAGGTTGATTTCTGAATCCTGAACAGTGGGAACATGTTCTTCAGGGTCATCGGGGGTCACATCTCCTGTGCCTCTGCAAAATCCAGAGAGACTAAATGAATAATATTATTATTTTTAATGTATATAACTCTTGAATGGCATAATGATTCATTCAGAACCAAAAGTTGTTCTTCGCTATAATGATTTAACTCCAAAAATGCTAAGTATCCTGGTGCAGCTCACACATTATGTATGCATATTCAAGATCATACCAAAATTTTTACAGATTTTATCCCTTTTACTTTATTTTAAATTTAAGTTGAATCTATGCGGAACTTAATTCATTGTTACCTAATCTTCCTTCCAGTTATTTCATATTTTTGGTGCATAAATTCTAGGATGACAGCAATGCGACAGTACTTCTGCACATGTACATTTCTGTAGAGTTTAATGGTAACACATGAATGCTTTAGTCTCATTCCGCCACCGTCAGCTCTAGTACTATAAACCTGTTGCACTTCTCAATTCTTGCAATACGTTTCTTTTCCTGCTCATCCACGAAAACAAGACGAACAAACCCTAAGTACTATCTGACAACTGGGAGGGGCCAGACCATGTGTGCTGAATCCCCTCAGGGTTCTATAGAGATCCTGTGATTGGGAAATATCAGAAGGTGTTGAAACACAGAAAGCAAACAACTCAAGTTGCATCGACTCTAGAGATTTCAGCATTCAAGCAGAATCAAGTCTGCATTTCTTGTCTTTTTTAAGAGTAGTGTTGGGACATTTACTGCAGGTATGTTCTACAGAATAAAAAAACAAATAAAAAAAATAAAACACTGAATATTAAAGGTCAGTATACAGGCAGAATTGACACACTCGCTCTTTAATTTCCCCTGACCAATTCATGGTGCATTGTTGAAAACACGGAACTAGTTCACTTCTCAATTTCTCACTACTTCCCACCATTGAAAGTTCAAGCAATTGATGTGAAAACAACATCGCAACCTGAAAGAAAGCGTAATTACCTAGCTGCTTTAAGAACAAAACAAGATTTGAAACATTTTTACATTTCTCATAAAACCATTATATTTTGTGTATTTTAAATCATCCAGCACTATATACAGTGTGTATATGTTCACTTCATACATACTGTGTGCAGTTGTCACTGTTCTTAGAGCAATAATTGACCAGAGAAGCCTGGATGTTGATGTGAGGATGTGTGTAACCCAAAGCACTTATGTCTTTAAAACTCTGCAATTTCAGGAGCTCAGCACTAAGCGGTGGTATCTTGTGTTGTGACTGTCTGACCTTCAGCTGAGGAGTCTGACCAAAAGGACAGAGTCACATAATGACTCAGAAATCTGCTCTGTCCCCATATACACTCACATATCCAGTGCTCCTGGAGGCCGTCTGTCTTGCTCTCCCTCAAAGGAGCCTCCTGTGGTCTGGGAGGTGGTATCACTGTCATAGACGCCATTAACTTCCTCTTCTGTGATTATGTCATAAGCTCCATCATCCGATCTGTTGCTGGGGTCTGAAACTGGAAGGAACAAGAATGTATGAATTTAACTATTAGAATAATGTACCCTTTTCTGTTTAGTAGTTTTCTGATTACACAGTAAACACAGTAAACTTAGCCACTACAAAAACAGATGTAAGATTATGCAGCTTTAAAATAAAAGCAAAACATTCGCTGAACAGAAATGTCACCGTCTTCCTCTTTTGTCTATTGAATAAGAATTCAGTGGCAATGGTTTCTGTCCTTGTTCCTCAATATGACGAAGTCAGTCTTTTCACTTCTGCTTCCCAGTTAATTTACAGTAACAAGAACAGGTGGCTGGAGAACTACAGCAATAAATGTTTGGGCCAAGTGTCCAGTTGTCAAGTTAGTGTTTTTCTCCCCAGCTTGCCTCTCACCTGTTACCCTGGGAGTGGGTTTGTATGGGGCTGGTTCAGAAGGTGGCTGAGGTCCAACTCCAGGTGGAGGAGGCTGAATGTCTGAAGGACTCAGCTCTCCCACTGTGAACCTTTCCACCACTGCACTGTGTTGGGTGTAACAGTCCCTGCAGCAGCGCTCCTTCTTCCCACTATGCTTGGTCATCACAAAGTTGTTGCTGCAGTAGTAGCAGAAGATGCGACCACAGAGCCTAAAAAATGATTAATGTATGAAAAAATAAAGGAGATTTCATCCATATTAGACCTACAGTTTTATTTTTTATGTCTTGCATTTTGAGAAAGCCCCATGTAGCAACTTAAAGCCCACCTGCAGTGATGTTTGCGCAGAAACCAGGTGAACTGGCCCTGGCATCCGAGGCAGTTAGTGGCCTCCACTAACCACCAGCGCTCCTCTGCTCGCAGTTTCTGCTCAAACTCTAGAGCGTCTGACTTCTGCCACAGAGTATCTTTGTCCCTGATGTAATGCACAAAAAAGACAAATTCATAGAGGTTTAGTGTCATTCTGCGCTGCTTTAACAAATCTTGGCCTGCGACCGAATTTAAAATGTCGAAAATATTTCCTTCACATGGATGAATTCAACTGTTGCATGTTAAACCATGTAAGGCTCAATATCTCAAAACTGGCTGGCTGTACTGTAAAATAAACTTCACTAACCTTATGATGTTGCCTGTGGTTTACCTGGTATGTTTCCCACTTAATGATCTTTGATGACTGAACACATTTAGGATGTTGTGTACTTGAATTGAACTGTAATTTTTTTAACATGTTGGATATATACCGGAAGTAGCCTCATTTCCCGAAACAATGCCACTGAGAAGAACAATGAAGGCACGAATAATACAAAAGTAGAAATAACAGAAATCATGTGGGCACATCCCAGAGGAGTTGACTGAATCACTGCATTTGTGTTTCATCCCTTGCAGAGTATGAAAGCTTTTGAGGCAACCGTGGTTCCTCAACCCAGTGAAACATGATGCATAAAAGGCTGTTGTTCTATTCAGTAGCATTTCTCTACCACACTTCACCTCTCACGTTGGACTCTCAATATTACTTTTCCTGCTGTCTTCTCTGTCAAAGTCTCTCTGTCAGACCTGTTCTCAGTCTATTATCTCAGCATTCAATGAAGCCTTTTCCCCTGCACCTCAAACCTAATTTCCCCCCATCAATGTCAAGTATAACAACACCAGAGAACTGCTCTTACTGGAAGAACTAATTCAAAATATAGACTCCCCAGTGGGACTATCAAAGAGCAGGCAGCAACCAAACATAACAAGGTGTAGACATCCAAGGATAAAATGAACTTTAACCCTTTTCTTCATTAAGAAATGAAATGCCTGTTGCAATAGACAGCCTTGACGCTGCTGACAGCTGTACTAGAGACAGGGCATACCTTATAAGCTCGATGAGCCGCTCTTCAAGGTTTGTCTTGGTTCTGTTGAGGTCATCGATCTCTGCAGTCATCTTCAGGCACTGACTTTGTTTGTCAGCTTCTGCTGTCTTGAGTTTCTGCTCCAATTCCTCGCTGACCTTCTGCATAGCCACGTGTGCTTCTTCAGCACTGATGGGAATAGGTGCGAGGAAGATTAGTCAGTAGCTCTTTTTTTCATCAAAAGATGAAATTCACAGGTATTACTGGTACATAAACGCACCTGGTTACGGCATCTCTCAGTTGCTGAATCTCGCTCTCACCCTCACGAATGGTTGCTTCTGTCTTTGTGATGTGAGCATCCTTCTCGCCAGTTAGCTGCAAATACTGCTCATTCAAAGCCTTTATAAAACACACACATAAAAATACCCGTCATTTTGTTTCCATAGTTTAAACACTTCTTAAACTGTTCTTAGTACTGTTGAATGAATTCAATAAATTTCAAGTGCTGTGCTACAAAAAAATATTTCTGCTGATGCATTTTGCAATAGAGAACATACTGAAACATGTAATTGAGTAAAATCTGATAACAGCTTTTGAAATAACCCAACCTTAATTAAATCGTATTTAATCATATTATATATATATATCTATAAACACATCAAACCATAGAGCAAAACTTTGACTATTATCTCAAAGCAATTTCATGAGGTATTGATTGGATTAGGATCAGTACACTACAGCGATTTTGCATCTATTCAACCTTCTATAATCAAAGAAAACTGCTCAAGCAATCAAGGTGTCTCATTATAAAAAACTGAAAAAAACATTTTGCATAATCATCTACTGTTAATGAGTGCTAAACAAATAATCTGCCTGTTATTATGTCCCATGTGGTGTGTGGCTTCCTTTTTTCCATTCCTTCTGAAAATCCACTAATGATAAAGGCGTTGGTGCCTGCTCCAGGGTATGTACATATAGGATCTTGCTCGCTACCTATCTACAGTCTTCTCTTAATCATACATCATATTTTTAGACTTGAAAGAGTGGGTACATCACACAATTTTTCTGATGGTGTATTTTTATATAACACTATGTTACAGAACACATTCTCCACCATGTATGTACTTATGTAACCGTGACATCACTGTATTTGATGCTTGAAAGAAACAGACCTCTAGTTCAGACACTTTGGCCTGCAAGCTGGACACATTCTTCTGCTCCTCCTGCAGCTGGGCTTTCACCTTGTCCAGCTGCTCATTCACATTCTGAAATGCAAAAGTAACATAAGAAAATGAAAATAAGAAGAGTGCTCGCCATGCTAGCACCACTGTGAGAATGTACTGAGCTAAATATGCTTACAATGACAATACTAACATGCTGATTTTTGCCACATTCACCTACTTAACTGCTAATTAACACAAAGTACAACTGAGGCTGATGGGAATGTCATTAGATTTGCAAGTACATGGTCATTTGAAATTTGAAATTAAGATTTTGACTGGTGGCACTAGCTGAAAAGTCAGGGATCACCAACGTTATCAGGTTTAATCCTCTGGGGACCATGCATGTCTGAACAAAATTTCTTGGCAATCCAGCCAATACTATACGATATACAATATTTCAGGCTGGACCAAAGTGGTGGAATGCCATCCCAAGAGGTAACTTGGATATTCTGACACACATTACCCCATTTACACCTTTATCTGGACACGTTATGTGTATAAGGAAACGCATTGGTATCAGAATGGGATTAGTTTCAGCTGGGCCACATTTGGAGGTGGTCAGTCTGGGATTGTGAGCGGATCTCAGCCAAATGCAAATGCAATTCTTACAGCACGACCACATTCTTAAGACACAAATCAGCCCAACAAGTTCGAAGGTCCCCTAACTCCACTTCTGTTTGCTATCTTCAGCAAGCCTTGTAAAAGGTACAAACGTCCCTCACAAAAAATTATTTAAAAATGATGACGTCCATTCGTGGCATTGCTTGCCTTGGTCTGGCACACACCAAGACTATTAACAAGTCAGCCAGTGCCATCTCACTAATTTGCATATTGAGTTCACAGTGTGGGAACAATCGAGATCGAAAATCGAAAACCGCATTTTATTACCAGTTTAAATGCCAAGTATCGGATGTCATTTTATGTTATGTTAATCCCAGGTGTAAATGGGGCCAATAAACTAAGAACTGCAGTGCGAAGAATCAGTAGAACCAAAATAAGTGTAATACGAGACATGATTAACAGATTCTGACTCACCTTCACCTGGACCTGATAATTCATGCTTTCTGAACTCATTTGGAACTTGACAGCCTCCACCTCCTCTCGGCTGGAGTCCTTAGCATTCTTCATTTGGGACTTGGCCTTTTCCAGCTTCTCCTGGAGCTCCTTGATAGTCTCTGGAAGTTCCTCCTTCTGTGTCAGCTCCTCTCTTAGTTTGGTATTCTCCAGCCGTAGTTCTGCCATGCTGTCTACTATTCGCTCCACCTCTTTCTCCAGCTCTTCGATCCTGGCAGTGTCGCCTTCCCAATGCTCTCTGGCCTCCTCCTTCTCTGCACCTAGCTTACAGATGGTCATCCCCAGCTCCGCCATCTCTGTGTTTGCCCTGTGTAGACCCTCACGTATCTCGCTGTTCTCTGAGGCCAGTCTGTCATTTTCTGCCTTGAGGGTGGACAACTCTTCTCGGATGGCAGCCGCAGAGATAGCCAATTCGGCATGGGCAGCTACTTCTCTGTCACGCTGTTCAATCAGCGCCTCTTCTTTCTTTTTGCACTCCATAAGCTCTGTTATATGCCTCTGATTCAGTGCCTCTGTCTGGGCTTTAAGCTGCTCGGTCAGAGTCCTGAACTCATCCCTTTGAGCCTCCGTCACCTCCAGCTGTGCTTGTGATTTTAACTTTTCCTCCTCAGACCTCTTTACCTGCACCTTGAGATCCAGGATATCTGCCTGGAGTCTGGACACGTCTTTCATGCTCACCTCCAACTGGCCCTCAACCACAGTCAGTTTGCTTGTCACCTCCTGGCTCTCCTTTGCTTGGACCGCACTCCTCTCCAGCTGAGATTTCTCCATTTCCTGCTTTTGAGACGTAACCCTTTCAATCACCTCTGTCTGTTTAGCACAGGTTGCTTCTGCAGCAGCTTTGGCAATCTCCAGCTCCTTCTCCCTGGCCTCCAGAGTGTTTAACCTGGACTGCAGCTCAACAAGGTTCTTCTCTTTACTGTCTAACTGGGCCTCTTTGGCTTGGAGCTGTTCTTGAAGGCTTGCTTCATTCTTGCGCGAAGCTCCTAAGTTCTTCTCCAGCTCTCCGATTTGCCCGTGAACACTCTTCAGGTCAGCTTGCATGCGGCTGAGAGCTGCTTTCACGGTGTCCTGCTCCTCTCTCAAACTCTGGTTCTCTTGCTCCAGCCGCTTTGATGTGGCTTCTGACAGCTGTGCAGCCATGGTGGCTCGCTGCAGACTCTCATCCAGCTTGCGGTTCTCCTCACGCAGGTGCTTCTCTTTTTCATCCACTGTCATCTTGGTATCATCGAGCTGTCCTCGAAGCTGTTTCTCAGAAGCCCGTAGAGCTGCTAATTCAGCTTCAAGAAGCGCTCTGTTGTCTGCCATCTCCTTCTTCAGCTCCTTATTTTTCTTCACCGTAGTCAGCAGTTTCTCATTTAGGTCCATTAGATTGCCACACTGCGTCTTGTAGTCTTCTATCTTTGTGGCTTGTTCTTTGACGTTACCCTCCAGCTCAACAAGGTTAGTGGTCAGTTTTTCTGTCTGTTTGGTCAGGCTTTGGTTCTTGGCTTCTAGCTTTTGTAGTGTCTTACAGCTTGAGGTAAGCTCTGTCTCTTTCCTTTTTAGCTGCTCCTTAAGAGCAGTGACTTCTGTTTCTAAAGACTCTTTTAAGCCACCAACATTCTTCTGCATTTCATCTTTATCTTGGCTGGCCCTGCTCTTCACCTCCTCCAACTCTTTCTCCTTCTCCTCTAGAGATTTTTGGAGGTCCTGCAGCTGCATTTGTAGATTGCTTGCCTCCTTTTCTCTCACTGTCAAGGCCCCCTGCAGCTTATCAAGGGCACTGCACTGTTCCTCCACTTTCGCCTCCAACTTGGTCTTCTCCTCAGACGCAGATGCAACTAATGCTCCGAGTTGTGTTTCACCATCCTTTGCAGCTGCCTCTTTGACTCTCAACTCCTCCTCTAGCCTCTCTGCTTGTCTCTTCTTTTCCTCTACCTCAGCTACAGCTTCCATCTTCCCTTTCTCTGCTTCTTTCAATCTGTCCAGCAACTCGTGTATCTTTTGAGCTGAATCAAAGTAACTGGCTGCCTGCTGGCCTTTCTCATTCAGAACCCCATCCAACTTGGCCAGAAGCTCTATGTTTTTTCCCTCAGCAGCTGCCAGTTTTTCCTGAAGCAGTTGTTGTTCAGCCTCCCTGGCTTTTTCCCCATTTCTGAGTGCTTCCACCTCTCTAGAAAGAACCTCCTCGCTTCTCTGTAGAGCCTTGAGTTCTCCCTGCAAGCCCTGCTGCTGCTCTTGGGCAGCAAGGGAAACATCCAGCTGCCTCTGGAGCGCCTCAACTACCCCCCTGAGCTCAGTAGCCTCCTCGCCCAGCTGCTGCAACTTATCTAGGAGCTCTCGCTGCTTTAACTCTGACTGGTCCAGCTCCAAGCGAAGGTCTTCAACTGTGCTGGTATCTTCAGTGCAGGCAGGCAGAGACTCATTTAGGTCATTCAGCAGACCCTGACCATAGTCAGGGCTAGATGGAAACTCAGGTGCTTGCTGGATGGTTGTGAGGGAAACCAAAGGAGAAGGGAAGGAACAGAGGTACAGTGATGAATATTCTACAGTTCTGAAAAATGACAGGATGTTATTTCAGATGTATGTCAGTTACCTGGGAGTAGGTGCTGGCAAGACTGTTAATACTGGAACTGCGACTGGGTGGTTTCCACATGTGGCCAGGTGAGTTTGCACTTCCCAGTGTCCTTCTGTTGATTAAAAGAGAAATGTTAGCTGCATTCAGACACACCTGTTTCTGTAATAATTTCTGGACGCTTATTTAGACATTTTCGTAGCTTTTATCTGCTATGCATGTTATGTTGATGATATGCTTTGTTACCTTGCAAAAGTAGGCCAGGAGGCATCAAGATCATGTCCTCTGGAAGCCACATCAAACTGGACCTCATTGAGTTCATACAGGTGACTGATTATGTCAACACTAAGGTGGGGCTTCAAGAAGGGGCTTCTTGCATAGTACCAGTCACTACGGGAAGAGAAATTAAGAAGAAGTTACAATAGGAAACAGAACAACTGGAAACAATCATAGTGGTTGAAAAAGGAAGTTTTGATTAATATTTTGACTCTAGAAATGATCTAAACCAGGAAATTCAGACATTTCTCAAAACAAGCCACGTTGCATAGCTTAGAGAGTAAATTGTTTATGGCTGACAGCTTTTTGCCTCTTTAAGATAAAGATTTGTCCTTGTAATGGTGTATTTCTCTGCTTGGTACAACACATACCTATTCTGAACTAAGTAAGTCAACTTAATTCTTCTTAGTTAGACTGTTGTTCATATTCAACTACTAAACTTCAGAAGCACTAGTTCCATTTAAAAGAAAGGGAAATGATGAAGTAAAACACCAACATTCGGTTTTTGCAAATAAGGAAGTGACATATACACCAGTTTCCATTTTTCTAATCAGTTTTTCTTGCACTTCAACAAAAGTCATCCATTCTTCGTAAATAAAAGAAGAGTTTTACCTGGTGACTCTCTGGTTCATCAGGCACTGCTGCAGGGTGTCAGCCAAACGCTGATGTACCAGGGAGTAACGGATAAACGCTCGCCCTTTCCCCAGAGATGTTTTCAGCTATCAAAGCAAAAGAAGACATGGTTAAACACAGAGCTTTTAACCAGTGTTGACTTCATATGCGTTACACTTTTATCATTTCTATTCTATAAAATTAAAAAGAAAAAATTATTTCTCATTCTCAGTAACAACAACGAAATTCTTCACACCTCAGCGATGGATTTGACAAAGCGGATCCCATCATTGGCTCCTTTGATCTTAGCCAAACAGTCATTGAAGTAATCCCAATAATCCTTCTTTGTACCAAGAAATGTGGTCTTCTCCTTCTGGTCAAACTGAAAGATAGATATATAGATATAGTTGCAACAAAGAACCTGTTGAACATGGATTTTTTTAGGCCTGTGTTTTATTTAGGAATCATTAATTATTTATTTATTCACATGTTCCTTGAGTAATTTGGATTCACTGCGTCATGTGTGGCAATATAAGCAAAATCACACCTGGAGCAGGTACTCCAGTTTGTAGGAGAATTTGTGCAGGTTGGTACTGTCATCAGTGATTGGCTCCCCACTTTCCCTGTACTCCCTTGCAAGCTCTGCAACAGCCTCTGAAATTCACATAGTTCAAAAATGAAAAAAAGATCAGGGATGATTTAAACTGGATTCATACAAACAGGTGGATGGTAGATTCCCTGTGGGAAACACATTTAAAAGGCAAAAGACACATGCTTCTTAAAGATACACACATAATATAAAAATGTGTTTTAGGCTAAAAAAAATTGAACAGCTAGTCTTCATTGAAGAAGAAGCAGGAAGGCAAACGAAAAATTGTTATCCTCTTAGAAATTACCAAAAGTCACATGGCCTAAAAAAAAAAAAAAAAGACATATAAAACTATACACTGTATGGCTGTACTATTTTCACATCTTGGTGCATTTTGGTTACACATTCACACACAAACACCCCCTACATTTTTTTGAAACCCCACCCTCTCCAAGCACAGCTAGTCTGAAAATCAACCACTTGCCTCGTATCCATCGCAAAAACTGGAAGGACACCTGTGATGGGTGCACTCTCAGTACGCACTTTCTGTCTCGTTGCATGCTGACAGAAGCTTCCACCACACCCTTACTATGGGAATGTGTGGTCGGATGCACGTTTTCCCAAATGATTTGATGAGCAGGAGAGGTCAGGTAGCTCCAGATGTAAAGACTGTACTTAGACTTGACACTGAAACTAAGGTTATGACATGATGGCAAACCTTTCTATCTCTCCTTTCTCTTCTCTTCAGTCACACTATGTCAGCCAACAACTGCCTGCAGCCAATCTATTCACACACACTCACACGAACAGGCGCACACACATAAAGCTGGCGTACCATGCAGATCTCGGATAATCCTCTGGAGTTGGCTCTCCCCGACAGTAGCCCCAACAGCCATGGCCCCACTGCTCTCTCCCTGGCAACCAGGGGTCACGGGGTCACATCCAGTCTGCTGAATCAGAGAATCAGAAGCAGTCAGGAACAAAAGATTGACATGAATGCTCCAACATACTGTACTCTCTTGTGGCCAATCATGGGCACACGTGATACACATAGAGATGCTACACATTAATGAGAGTTCCCATAATGAGTACATTGCCGAATTCTGTGCAGAAAATGTACAGGCCTGAAAGTCAGTCTGACAGGGATATAATGGTCTGTCACATATACAACTTGATCTGATACTGTATAATCTGTAGAATAAAAAAAATGTCACTTTATACATTCTGAAGTTCTGACAACCAGGTACTGTTCAACTGTGACCTTTTATTAATATCAGTCAAACTACGCATCTGTTTTGGTAACATTCGATGACACACTCCTAAACACATAAAAATAATTACATGCTTATGCAACAACAAAGTCCATTAATGATTTATTGAGGGAAGTTTTTTCTTTACACTTTGATCACTGTAGGAGCAACAAAAGAGTCATTAGGTAAGGAAAAATACCTAATGGTTCTTGCAAAATACTGGTTAAAACTAGACTAACCCACTCTTATCATTTAGTACTTAGTACTTGTTATTCTTCAAGAAAATGTACTTCAATAATGCAGAACCAAAAGAAAAGAGACATGTTACAAAATGTACAATTCCCATGCTTTTACATAACCACACAGTGAAATTCAGTACATTAAACCATATATTAGATTATAAGTCTGTATGTGACATGTACAGAATCTCCTGTATAAGCGGTAAGAACAGCTTGTGGACCCAATACACTATCCGTGCAACAAGACCTCATTACTAAGGAGAACATTTCCACCCCAATGTTCATAAAACGCCATCACCACAAGTTCTGGCTACAAAAATGACCAGTTAAGTTCAGTAATACCTCTCTGATACAGTGTTTATAACACACACTGTTTATAACAAACACTGAGGTAGTACTGCACGTATTCCTGGCCATCGTGTAAGTGTTACTGTTTTCCTGTAACCTCCTCCTGTTGGTTAGCTATGAGGAACTAGACAAAGCACACAATGAGTATGCCAGATAACACCTATGACATTAAGAAAGTGTCCATACTGTTGCGGTGTGCGACCAGCCACAACCTATATATTAATACACAGGCATTAACACTGTGGTAACGTTATTAAAACAACTTTATGAGTTGACGGACGTCAGACTGGCTAACGGCTAACTAGGTTAACGTTTGTTGGGGTTTTAAGCCTAAACAGTTTGAAAAAACCCCAAGAATAGTTTTACAACACTTACTATCAGCTCTTACAGCGCTAAAATTACCTTTCTAACATCGAAGACGACAGACAAGAGCACACAGCCGCCAGCTCAAGCTTTTAAAGCTCTTTTTTTGTGTGTTTTTGTAGCTGTCTCAGTGACGTTATATTTAGCTTTGACACGGTGATCCTTTGACAGACATTTTGAAAATAACCTTGACATCACCGATAAGCAGTAACTTGCATCATCTAACGTGTTTCTAGGTAGTTGCTGGTGAAACAATATGAAAAGAATAATAACTTTGACATACTTTTACAGATATGGCTCAAGTCCATAACAACCCAGGTCGTTTGTGTGTACATACGAACTTGTTTAAAGTGTCGTGATTGATACTGTGCGGTCCAATGACACAGCGACATGTAGCCGACGGTCCAATGGCTACGTGGTTGGTAGGCAGGACTCTGAAACTGCATGTTTGGTTGTCACAGCAGAGTAAACAGAGGTGTCATGTGATCAACGACATATAACGTTATTTAATACTTGCCACACTTTTCATGGAGGCTCTAATGAAAAGATGCTATTGGTTGCAGTAATGTGGAATGTAAGAGCCAAAGCTTGACCCATAGTAAGGACGAAAACGTCCGGACATCTCCGCCTCTGCTCCATTAATTTTGACCCTTTTTTTTTTGTGCCTGAACATTATCAAAGTGCAACTTTAAATTGCTGGAGTACCCCTTTAAAGTCAAATTTCCAAAGTCTGATTACAGGTGGCAGTACAAGTACAAATACAAAAACATATACACTACCAGTCAAAAGT